TTTGTTTTTTGTCATAAATGATTTTCAGGTAGACATTAGGCCTATTTTTCAAACACTTTCCGTTATTCTTGTCCCGTTACTTGTATTTTATTACGTTAATAAAAAAAAAAAAAACATATTCTCCATTAATTGTTACTGTTATTATCTAATCTTGTGTTTATTCTTAGCATTGGTATTAGTACTTGTATGCAATTGTTATGATAATTATCAACATTATCATACCTATATTGTTATCATCATTGCTATCATTACGATCATTATTAACGTGATCATTAGTGTTATTGCTGTTTCGTTATCAGTTGATTGCTCTCATTATCATTATTTTCATTATTACTATCATTATTTTTGTTATTATCATTATTATTGTCATCATTATCATTGTTATTATTATTATTACTATTTTGTTAATTCATTATATTAATCATAAATTATTATTATTATTATAATTATTAATTATCATATAATATATATCATTATTATATATTTATTATTAATTATTATTATTATTATCATTATTATTATTATTAATATATCATATTATTATTACTAATTATTATTATTATCAATTATTATTACTATCACTACCATTCTTATCTTCATCATCCTCATGACATTCATTATAATCATTATCATTGTTGTAAGAATTATTGGTCATTACATATACTACCATGTTAACACAACCATGATGATAGTTACTATTATCATATTGTTGTTATTATTGTTAATTATTATTATTATTATTATTATTATTATTATTATTATTATTATTATTATTTTATTGTTATTATTATTATTATCATTATCATTATTATTATTGTTACTGTCATTGTCACTATCATAATTATTTCATCATTATTTTATAATTATTACTATCATTATAATTGTTATATTCATCATTATCATTATCATCATTGTCATTATTATTACTCTTGATATCATCATTGCTACTAATATGATAATTATTATCATCATTATCATTATCATCATCATTATCAATTATTTTTACTGTTGTTATCAATATCATTCTTATCATTATCATTATCATTATTATTATTGTTATTATTATCATCATTATTGTTATTATTATCATCATTAACATTACCACTTTTATTATTGTAATTAATATAATCGATGTCATTATCATTATCATTACTTTTATCATCATTATTCTTATCATCCTCATCATCATTATTGTTTCATTATCATTGTTTTTTATTACTTTTATTGTACTTATTATTATCATCATTATCATTGCTATTAACATTATCATTTTCATTATTATCATTATCATTATCAAACATCATTACTTTCATTATTGTTATAATTGTTATTATCAGTATCATATTATTGTTATTATTACTATCATAAATATGATTATGATTATCAATATTATTATTATTATTTCATTATTATTATTATGATCATTATTATTATCATTATTATCATCATCATTATCACTATCATTATTATTCATTATCATCATTATTATATCATCATTATATCATAATCATTGTTAATATATTTTTTATTAGTAGTAGTATTATTGCTGTCCTTACCATTATTACTATTGTCATATTCACTATCATCATTGCAAATATTTGTGTTATCTTTATCATTATCCTTAGTGTTTTTATCATTATCATAATGATAATGGTAGTCATCATCATTTTCATTATCATTCTTTTATCATTGCCATTATCATTATATCTATTATCATTAATAGCTTCATCAACATTGCTAACAATAATCATGATAACCATTTCTAATTAAGAATAAATTTCCTCATTTCTCCTTATCAATGGATATTTTTTTCCTCCGCCTTCTATTTCGCCACAATTTTGAAAAAAAAAAAATCTTTGTTTATACTTTTTTCTGCTCCTTCTTCTCTATAGGCCTATCATCTCGCGTTTTACGGTGGACATATTACTTCTGTGTAACATTTTTAAAAATTTTCTCTTATTTATTATTGTTATTGTTATTTTTTCTATTTTCTTTATATAGGTATTTGGTAATAATGATAGTAATAATGATAAAGATGTTAATGATAATGATGATAATAATGATGATAATAATAGTGATAATGATAACAATAGTACTACTATTACTAACAATAATAACAAAATAATAATGATAATAATAACAAAAAGCATAATAACAGTAATGAAAATGATAGTAATAATAATGATAGACAATGAAAAGGATAATAATATTGATAATGATAATAAACAATAATAATAACGATGATGATAATGATAACAATAATAGTAAAGATAAATTCCTTATTCAACAAGAGACAATTTATCATTGGATGGTTGCTCATTTGACTATCAAGAGGCGGAGATGAGGAATGGCGCAGGGGTAGGGGGTAGGGGGGTAGGGGGTAGGGGGTAGGGAGGGAGAGGGAGGTTGGGGTTAGAAACTGCGAATTTCCCATTTTCTTCTGATCTTTTTGTTTATTATTTTCTTTCTTTCTTTGTTTCTTTTGTTCTATTTCCTTTAGAAAATATATATTTTCCTTATTTTACTTTATTTTTGGTTTTGTTTGTTTACAATGTCTAAAGCCTGTATAGTTTATATACTGTATATCTATACATGCATACTTACACCACACTCACTCACTCAACTCTCTATCTCTCTCTCTCTCTCTCTCTCTCCTCTCTCTCTCTCTCTCTTCTCTCTCTTCTTCTCTCTCTCCCTCTCTCTTTCTCTCTCTTTCTCTTTCTCTTTCTCTTTTCTCTTCTCTTTCTCTTTTCTCTTCTCTTTCTCTTTCTCTTTCTCTTTCTCTTTCTCTT